GAACGGGAACAAAATGGCCAGAGTGAATAAGACGACACCGGCAGAAAGGCCTGCGATTGTGCTGCTAGGGGCTCACATTGTCAGCGTAAATGCTCTCGCCCGCTGAGATAGATAAATGTACTGTGGGTTTGCTGTGTGCAGCGGATGAGATCGAGGTTCTGTAGTATGTGACCTCATGTCCCAGCCATGAGGGCGGCGATGGCGAGCATTACTTTAAACAGGGAGACTGAAAGAGGAACGGAATATCGCAAATGGTGAGAAAAATCGATACAGACAAAGGAGAAGGTACCCACACCACACGCTACTGCAACTTTCCACGTGGGTTAGTTCATAGGTAGCATTTCTGAGGACTTTGCATTTGGGAAATATAACAGCTTTAAGTTTTTCTTTGGATTACATCAGGATTGAGTGAGTTTTGGTTCCCAGCACTCTACCATATGATGCAGAAGCCTGGTATTAATGGTCTTTTCTGAGAAATGACAAAAAACGGACTGGGTTTTGGAAATTTGCTCTTCAATTCAACCATCCATAATTGGATGGATGGAATTTGGCCATCCACAATGTGCGTTTTACTGGTGTCGTCAAGAAGTGTGGAAGGCCAGTGTGGAGAGAGGAGGCTGAGAAAGATTTGGTTCGAACAGAAATCACTCCTAAGTCCAGAGGTTTCCGGATTATCCTCACAGTCCACGCAAGTGGGCTTAAGTCGGATCTGGGAGGATTCTGCGCTATAAGGTGAAATTGGAACAACTCCAGCACATCGGGGCACCAATCGCACTTTCCAATCCCAGAATAGATGGAGATTTAATCCGGAAGAGCCTGGATTCCAGAAGCATCCTGGTCCTTCCTGTGGGACACACTTTACAGGGATTGCCGGACCACTGTGAATCCAACCATACAGCAAAATAGTAAACTGCCAATACCTTTGCTTATTTGCCTTGTAGCCAGTGATTTAGTATAGATCCTGCCATGTCCACCCATTATGGATATGGAAGTAAACTTCAGGTCATTCTTGACCATAAAAGGCTGTTGATGATATTACTATGAGCTTGTGGAGTCTCATATGGTCATGGATCACATTTTACAAGATATGCCTGGCAATCAGTGTTACTATTTGGACTTTATAGTCAGGCTGGATCTTCAAAAGCTTAATAAGGTCTAAAAACAACTGGATGCACTTGACATAAGAACATAAGAAATTTACAAACGAGAGGAGGCCATTCGGCCCATCAAGCTCGTTTGGGGAGAACTTAACTAATAGCTCAGAGTTGTTAAAATCTTATCTAGCTCTGATTTAAAGGAACCCAGGGTTTTAGCTTCCGCTACACTAGCAGGAAGACTATTCCATACTCTAACTACACGCTGTGTAAAGAAGTGCTTCCTCAAATTTGTTTTAAAATGTTCTCCCGCTAATTTCCACTTATGGCCACGAGTGACCTACAGCTAATGTCTGTTTTTGAACCCTCTGAGATGCCTTCTTAACCACATTAGTGATTTGATGGGATTCTCGCAAACTTTCAGTCAGGTGGCACGTTATTGTCCTTTTATAATTCAAGCAGTGTCTCCCATCCTGGTCCTCGGTGACCCCTAGACGATCCACATGGACTGTCTGAGGGTCCCCGAAGACCCGGCTGGGGAAAAGTGGCAAAATGACTTGGATATACTGGACGAGAAGCTCCATGGCCAGTTCAGCTCCATCAGTTCCTTCTGCCAGGCAAGGAGAACCTCACAGTTGTCACTTCGCTGTGGTTACAGCAACAACATAAACACAACTGCTGTTTCTGGAACTAATTACCACTCTGATACCTTTCTAAAGGGCACTGCAATCTACATCTACTATTAAATACCCTCAGGGCACCTCAGCAAAGAACACACCTCCAGCGCTGTGTGAAATGAAAATGAAATAAAGCTTTGTTTGCCATATGTACAAGAACGGAGACAAGTAGATTGGAATTTGCTTTTTCATCTCATCTCATTTCCCCTTCTTGCTCCTCTTGACATACACACACCTATAGAGCTGAGAGTGAGACTTGGGATCCGAGCCACGGGGTCAGCCATCCATCAAGCCGCCCCGGAGCATTTTCCAGGGGGCTATGGGCCTTGCTGAAGTGCCCGATGGAGATTTGTCCACTCTATCAAGCACGGGATTCACACCGATGACCTTCTGACCGCAGACCAACTGCCAGAAGCCAGCATCCCCCAACTCCAGCTCTTTGGGAGAGGCGTGGAGTTATGCTTGTGGGAGCTTTACTTACACAAAAATGTTCTGAAGACAGAAGGAAAAACGATTGGTTCAGAGAGGACCAATCAGATTGCAGAGGAGTTGGATCGAAGCAACTAGAGGAGGTGGGACCAAGACATCTGATTGGTTGGTCCTGCCTCCTCTAGTTACTTGAACCCACCTCTTCTACAGTATGATTAGTTATCTCTCTGAACCAATCATTTTTCTTTCTCCCCTCAGAACTTATTCATGTATGTAAAATTATCTTACCCATGCTCTTCTGTTATATGACACCAGCCTGTCCCTAGAGAGTCTGTGCCCATGGCACTAAGATTTCTATTGGATTGTTATTGCCAGTATAATTACCACTATTTACATTTTAATTGAACATGTTAAGCGAAAAAGATGCTTTTGTCCAGCGTGACATACAGTTGAGTCAGACAGTCACTGAAGCCACTGGCTGCTATAACTGACAATTCCAGGGGCCCTAAAACATTTTGAACATAAATCATTGGGATTTGAATCTACAACATTCTGATCACAGCCCACTGAGTCACATACCTGCCTTCTATGAGGTCAGCGTCTATCTCCCGGTCTCAAAGGTAAATGTCGTCACTAAAAAAGGGGGAAAAAAGGAAACGATAAGTATCTTAGAAAGTAGGGTACTCTCCCCTTATCACACAGCTACTCTTTAATTTGCGAGAGCCTTGCATTACACCTCATTTTCCCTACGTGCCGGATACGATGATTCAAGTGTCGCGATCGAGGGGGGAGTTCTGCTCAGTTCATTATAGTCCCTGGGTTCATCACAACTGCGCAGATCAGGCGATAACAAGGGATGTGAGGCGAGGTCGATCCCGGAACTTTTCCGCAGCAGGGATGGGGTCGGATGGGCGGGTTGCGGCCAGGGCCAAGGAGAGTGGCTTCAGGTTGCTGCAGACGCCGTGACTGACAGAGCTACAGAGTCCGGATGAACATCTGCGGAAATGTCCTCAGCCGAAGTGATGGATATAGACCATGTTACCTACCTAAGGAAAATAAAAACTGTTTGCCGTCTATTCCAAATTTTGCTATAGTGCATCTCAGCTTTGCTGGTTGACCGCTGTGGGGCGAGTTCAAATCCCCTCCTCACTGCTCACATGTTGTGGAAGGACCCAGGTTAAGATCCACCCCCCCTCCCCCCTAACCCTGTACTGCATAAGTTATAGGAAGATGGGTGGGGCACAATTTACCACTACAGAAATTACTGAAATTAGCTACTTACCTACGATCTGTGTCTCACACACACAGAGTCTCCAAAATGCCTTAATGAGTTTGCAGCACTTTCAGGCAAACTGTGGATGCACTTAGTATTAAAAAATAAAAACTCCGAATGAATTGATCTAAACTGCGGCTGAGACTGAAATTATATCACTAAGAATAAAGTTAGATTAATAATATATACGATTATTATTACCCTTATGTATTGTTCATTGAAAAACCCATCAAGAGAGGGAGATTATTGCGTTATTAGGATTTACATAGGATTAACTGTCGTTTTACAGCATGTTTACACGTATGAAGAATCTGCCTCATTACCATCTTACCAACTGCCGTTTTACACCATGTATACGCACATGAATAATCTGCCTCATTACCGTCTTACTAACTGCCGTTTTACACCATGTATACGCACATGAATAATCTGCCTCATTACTGTCTCGCTAACTGCCGTTTTACACCATGTATACACGCATGAATAATCTGTATTATTACTGTACAGTCCTTCCCAGTGTTGCCTTGCACCCCCTCCCCAGATCCGATGCGTAAAGAGAGTGCATGATGAGGCTTCAGCCCCCCCCC